GAAGCCCCCAACTTCAACAGCACACACACACAACAGCACACACACACAACAGCACACACACACAACAGCACACACACACACAACAGCAACACAATATCTTTAGCTATCCTCCTACAACACTCGCTCACTCAAGTTCCTCCATATCTCTTCCGCTCACTTATCTTTCCTCAATCACTAAACATATGCCTCGACTTTTCTATACCATCACATTTTCCCTCATTCGCCCGCCTTCCTCCCCACCACCAAAAAAAAGACCTTTCTATATCCCTCCACGAAAAGGCCCCTTTCCATTTCCATCCATCCCTATTCCCGCTTATTAAAAAAAAACCATATCTCGCTCTCCTCACACGTCCAAGTCTCAAAAAGACAACAAGACATCCAATTACCCCCTTCCTAATTAACCCATCCTCCCTCTCAACAAACAATACCCACCTTTCCCTTCCTTATTTCATGATTGACTCATTTCGCCACCCTCTTAAAGGCCAACAGCTCGCTCAGACTCGCCAGCGGGCACCCATGCTTCAAAAAGTCATGATTCAGCAGCTCCTGCGCCGACGCCCTGCTCTTGACGTCAACACACAGGCACACCGACAGGAAGGCCTTGAGCTCCTTGCTCAGCTTCTCTGGCTTCTTCAGCCTCGGCGTCCCGTTCGTCGCAATCAGATACAGCGCCTTGAGCGGCTCCTCGTTCAGATAAGGCGGCTCGCTCTCAATCATTTCAATCGCCATGATGCCCAGCGACCAAATATCCACCTTGGGCCCGTACTCCTTTTGCTTCACCACCTCGGGCGCCATCCAGTAAGGCGTCCCGACCATGGTCGCTCGCTTGGACTTGGTCTCGGTGAGCTTGGCGCAGAAGCCGAAATCAGCTGGACAAAAGTTAGCACATAATTGCTTTGACTGACAAAGAGCACTGAAAAAGAAAGAGGAAAAAAAAACATACTAATCTTGACGTTACCCCGAGCGTCCAAAAGGACATTGTCAGACTTGATGTCGCGGTGAATGATGTTTTGAGCATGCAAATGATCCAAACCTTGGCATGTCTGTATCCCATGTTAGCACTCATCCGTCCCTCCATGCTCCCCAATCAGTCAACATACCTCAAGGCAGATGGTAGAAATCTGCTCCTCCGTAATAACAGGGTTGTTCTCAATAACATCCGTCAACGCACCACCCTCCATGTACTCCATCACCACCCAGAGCTCCTTGTCGTTATCCATAAGGAAGGCATCCAGGTAGTTGACAATGTTGGCGTGCTTGTTCTCCTTCATGACCAGAATCTCGTTCACAATCAACTCCTTGCGGGGCTGGTGAGCCAGATCCATCTGCTTGATAGCGACACGGTCGCTACCGCCGCGGGCCTTGAGCTGCGACACCTGCGGAGCGCCTGGTCGTTGCGAGATGATCTTGGCCACGTAGACGGACCCGGACGCACCCTGGCCAATCTTCTTTTGCTTGGAATACAGCTGGTTGGGATCGTGGTTGGACACAACTTCCCTCAACTTGGCCATAACCTCATTCTCAGACATGGTCGACATGCGAACATCCTGCTTGCGCTCTGTCGCGGGAGGCTTAGCTGTCAGGGCGGCCTCGGCAGCCTTGACGGCATCATTATTTGGCTTGGCAACATTCAGGGGCTTCACGGGGGCGGGCAGGCGAGAAGCCTGAGGTTGAGGTTGTGGTTGCCGTGTGGCAGCCGCCGAGCCATTCTGGTACCGCGAAGGTTGAGCCTGATCAGGCCGTGGTGGTAATCTTTGTTGGCCGGACGGGATTTGGCCAGAGCTGGGCTGCTGTTGCATGGGAGGGCGAGAAGCAGAGCTGCTTGGTGGAGGCGGGGCTGGTCTCTGTGACTTGAGGGCCTGTCCCTGTCCTGGAGCCTTGGGGGCAGCCCGGGATGGGTTGAATCTATCGGTGGCCGGTGGCGCGCCGTAGCCACCACCGATTTCTTGCTGCGCCAGAGGAACCTTGGTCTTGGGAAGCGACGCATTATAAGCCTCCTGCTCCCGGCGAGCCTGTTCCTCCCTTTCTCTCAACTGTTCTCGTTGTCGTTCCAATTCTCTGTATCGTTGTTCTTCCCGCATGCGATCGGCCGAGATGTAATTTGGTGACACGTTCTGGAGCTGCTGCATGGGGGGTTGCTGCGGCTCGTTCGGTCGCATTTGCGCGTTCGGGGTCGTCGAGTATGATGCGGGGCTACGCTGTGGTTGGATGGGCTTGGTCTGTCTCGGCGGCGCGATCGAGCTCCCGCTGCTGGGATAGCCAAACTGATCATTCTGCATCATGTTCGGGGAGGGCGTCTGTTGGATGGGTGTAGGGTACTCCTCGGGGTTCTCGGCGCGCTTGGCCAAGTCGGAGTAGAAGTCGAGGACCTCAAACACGGCCTGGGGGTTTCTCTCGACATCCTCCTTGGTGATGGCTGACGAGTTGAGTAGTCGGGTCCATTCTTCCGGAAGCCCGGTGAACTGGCCGGTGTGAGGGTTGAAGCCGACGTGTACGGCGTGTGAGAAGTTGGTAGGGTTGCTGACGCCGCCGGGGCAGCGGGCGTAGATGCAGTCGATCCATTCGTACAAATCATCGTCACTCTTGACGCAGACACGCAGTGATCTCATGCCATTTCCGTCGTCGTCGCCTGGCGGCCCGACGTACTGGTTGGTCAAGTGCCGCTTGATCTCGAAGACGGGGTCGCCGTTGTCGTCTTCGACTCGGCCAACACTTACAACATCGGATAGTTGAATCTTGTAGAGCTGCTTGCCGTTCTCGTTCTTGTGGAAGTCCAGAATGTCCTTGCGCAGGATCAGGTATCTCTGCTTCCACTGCTGGAAAGGGTTCTTGCTGGGAAGGCCAACAGGGCCCTGCTTGATGATGGCGAGTCCTCCGGCGCCTTCCATGGTGTTGGATCCTTGTCGGGAGATGGGGAGGGCTATGGTCGATCCGCTGTAGTTGCTCGGGACGGGGGAGTTCAGGCTCATGGAACTCATAGACCCAGGGAGGTTGACATTCGGCATCAGGCCCAGGCGAGGCTTCTCTGACGGAGGTTTGGGGGCAGGCCCTGGGTTCATGAACTGCCCGTTCGCGTAAACACTATATAGGAGAAAAACATCAGCTTGCTTGTCCTCCCCCCTGGCGGGGTCTTTTAATATTAAAGAAAACAGGCGATGGAGTCCATGGCGAGCAGGGAGCCAGCAATCAGACAGGCCCAGCGGGGTCAGGTCGCAAGCTCCACCGCTAATAGGGTGTTTCTCTGGGGAACGGCAGCGCAACAAGATGATCCCGACGTGCTTCCCACCCATGCAACCCCGGCCCTTGTGGCTCACAGTGGACAGTGGACAGTGTGGTGTCCGCGCCCGGGGGCCTGGACAGCTCACCCACCAGCAGGCAGAGGAGCCGTGATTAGAAAAGAGGGACAGATGAGCGGTGGCGTCGTGGAACATGCATACCTGTTGTGCATCGCCATGTCGTCGTCGATGAATATTATTACAGCGACTCGAAGCAGGAGTCGTCGTCAAAGTCGTCGTCAAAGTCGTCAAAGTTAATGTAGGCTTGCGTTGGCTGAAGGCAGGGTCTCTTTAGCGATCGCCAACGGTCAGGAAGGGTAGGAAAAGGGGGCAAGGCTGGGCGCTGGCAACAACCTAGTCGAGACAGGAGGAAAAAAAGACAGTGCGGACTTACCGATGTCAACGAAACACGACCCGTGATGCTTCGCAATGAAGATGAGAGACAACTTCCACCGGCAGCAGCAACTGCAGCACCGCGCAGCGCGAGGCCGAAGGGTGTATTCTATTGCCAAGCAGCCCAGAGGATACAACTTGCGACGTCCACAGCAGTCGCTTGCTTGCTTGCTAGACGTTGTTGGCTGGGATTCTCTCGTTGGAAAAGGTGGAGATGTCCACGTCCGAGTCCAAGTCCAAGTCCAAGTCCTAGGTGACGGATGGGCGGTCAGTCGGTCAGTCAGTCGGCGAGGTTCTGTGCTGGCGCCGTGCCGTATATTTCGGGTGGGCGTGCACTGAGGTGGCTAGTGAGTAGGTAGCGGAGGTAAGTGACGAGATGTTGTTCTTCTTCCCCCAGGCGATCACTCGGTAAAGCTTCCTCGGGCAAGGCTCCCAGCAGTGATGCTGCGTGCGATACAACGGGGGGAACCAGGTGGGAAGGGGCAAAAAAAAAGATCCTGGGATCGTGTTCACAAAGTTGGAGTCGCAGCAGACGAGACGAAAGAGACAAAGGTCGGTAGGTGTGGTGGTAAGGTACGGTGCGATAGAGAGTCGGGTGTGCCTGTGGAACCACGCGCTGTGGCAGCATGGGGGGGGTAAGTGCGCTCGCCCTCACAATTCTAAAAAACCAACTCCATTCGGCCGCTAGAGCTCTTAGACATGTACCTCTATTCACACGTCTTCTCTTTCATAATAAACAAGTACAGCGCTATCTGACTATCCCCAGGACCCCTGGTCTGGCGGCCCTTCGAGACATTGAGGGGCACCCGACCACAAAGGATTGGCCACCCTAGGCGCGATTCCCACTCGGAGCACCACACACACATGGCGGGCTTGCATGTTTGAGACTTTGGAACAATGGAGACACGGCCCCTTCACCTCACCCAGCAGCCCGTCAGTTGCTGAAGAACCTCTTCCCCAAGATAGGTACGCTATATATCTGCAAGTCCCGCCGGCGGCATGATATGTATCGGCCTTGATGCCGGATATAACCGAGAAAGCTGAACATGCAGTTGGTAAGATTTTACACCTACGTCCGGTATATTCGATCTAATGTGCCTTGGGGTCGTCGAAAGAACCTCACCCGCCGCAGCCCTACCTAGGTCAGGTTCCTCCTCTGCCAACCTTACCTTCTTACAACCTATATCCCAGCTCAGGAGGTCCCCCTCCTCCCTCCTGGCCACCGGCCCAAGCAACCCACTCAAGCCAGGTTGGAGCCTTTTATTTTTTTCCAACCATGTGTAACTTCTCCGGGACCTCCTTGCCCCCCCCGCCTTTCAGCGACAGATCCAACGCGGATATCACTCAGGCCTGTTGTTGGTGAACCAACAGCCGCCTTGAAGACATTACACACACACACACACACACATATATAAACCTCATCCATCACAGAAACAAAAAAGAACCAAGCGCCTAATTGGGAACCTCTTGCAGATCACAAAGCAAAGTCACCCCATTTCTTGAGGATCTGCTGCACTTCCCCCCCGGCCGCCGTTGGAAACGATGACAAGGCCCGGCTTGGCAAGGGTTCAGTCCTTCATCTTGAACAGAAGCTCTCTCATCATCGCGGGGCCCAGTGACAGCGTTGCATTTTGCCTGAGCGAAAAAGGTATGCGCCGTTTCAGGATCCTCCTACGCTCTTGGTGGTGATCATAGCCCAGGCAGGGGAAGCATCATCGGTATGTGTTTATGATTTGAGCACCCACCTAACGGACACTGTTAGCTAGATACATACCATCCAAAGTGAATTGTAAATGTCATGCTATTCTACAGGCTGTCCAGCCCTAGTGAAGAAACAACCTTTTTGATAGAGAAACCAGCTGCTCAACATGTCGTAAGAAAAAGCAAAGAATAATGCACATCATAACAGCATAACCAACCCTTCCCTCCCCCCATCGAGTCAAGTGGTTTATTAGCCGCCGCCTCCAAAACCTGAACCTACCCTTTCCCGCAACCCGACGACTCATGCCCGTTGTTGACTCGTCTCATCCGCCATCCCGCCACAGGGATCGGAAGAGAGAAATCTCATCCCGTAAAAGAAGGGGTAAACTGACAACTCTCCTCCCATCAAGTGATCAACACCGAAACGATGCCCTCTCCCGGTGGAGATAAGGGGTCGACCCAACTGTCGCGGAAAAGAACAAGAGAGGAATAGCCAAAACAACCGGCTTTGACATGGGAGAGAAAAAGAATATGCAACAGAAAACATGTTTTTCATGCTGATCGGGAATCGTTTCCTTGTCAAACAAGACTTTTAAAACGCCCCGTTGGCGGCCTCTCTCGAAAGCAAAAGCTTCGACCTCTGCTTGTTTCCCTTTCTTCCTTGCGGGCAACGTCATCTGGGTGTCCATGTCGATGTCGAGTAATAGCTAAAAAGCTGCCACTAGTAGTACCGTTCTGGCCCAAGGCCAAGATAGACAAGTCCCATATTACACCACCAGCAAACAGGTACTACGATGTAGAAGAACAAACATCTAGATTCCAAAGTGTCCAACAGCCATCTCTAAAACACCTTGCTAATCTAACCCTGCTTGCTTGCTTTGCTTTGCTTGCTGACCGCCCCCCACTATCAAACCCTTTAAACTATTTTACAATTTTTCTTCCTCAGCCACCCCCTACCTCACAACAACCTCAACCTCCTGCTGCCCCTCGAAAATCGGCAACTCCCCCTCCACATCCTGCCACGTCTTGGTCCCCTCCACCAGCGCCTTGATCGCCGCAATAATCTTGTCCTCCTCCGCCCTCACCTGCCGTGTGCTGTCCCGCTCTCTCAGCGTCACCGTCCCATCCTTCAGAGTCTGGAAATCAACCGTGACACCAAACGGAGTGCCCAGCTCATCATTTCTGCTGTACCGCTTGCCAATGCTGGCAGACGAGTCGTCAATCCGGCTGGACACGCCGGCCGACCTGAGCTTCTGGGAGAGCTTGCGGACCTCGGGGGTAAAGTCCTTGTTGGAGGAGAGAGGCACGATGAGGACCTTGGTCGGGGCGACGGCCGGAGGGAAGGAGAGGACCTGATGTTACAGAGTTAGTTTTACACGAGCTCAGATCGGACTGTTAAAAAGTTAACTCACACCACGGGCCTCATCACCACCCTCACTGGCTCTGGTCCAGTAGTTGTGCTCCATAAGAGAGTACAGAATACGGCCGATACCAAACGAAGGCTCAATCACGTTGGGGGTGTACTCCCTAACGTTCTCAACACGCTTCACCCACTTGATAGCCAGCAAGTCCTTGCTAACCTCCACCTTGCCGTCGTTCACACCAGGCACGTCAATCACAACCTTGCCGTTCTCCTCCAGCTGCTTCACAAGCTCGCCACGCTGCTCCTGGGTGGTGGCCAGGAGAGCATTCTCAATCGTCTTGCCGTCCTTCTTGTAAAAAGGACCAAAGTTCTTCTTGTCAATCGCAATATCCCACTCCTCAATAGTGATCGGCTCCTCCAGGCGCTGACGCACAACAAGCGGCGCACCAGTCTTCTTGGCGTGGACGGACAAGTCGTACGCGCTGCGGTCGGCACAGCCAACGCACTCAACCCACCCGGCCGAAGTGTGAAGCTCAGCATCCCAGCAGTCGCAGGCGTAGTGAGCCATCTCGTTGTCCATGTGCTGGCGGAAGCGGATCTTCTTCTCGTCGATGCCAATCTTCTTGAGGAAGAGGAGGATGCGGGCGAGGAAGTAGCCGAGGGTCTCGTTGTCGACGAGGCCCTCCTTGACGGCCTGACCGATCGTCTGCTTCTTGACGACCGTTGACCCGGAGAGCTGAGTGTGGCGGTCGAGGAAGGCGAGCTCGACGTCGGCCACCTCGTGGAAGCGGGCGTGCTTCTTGTGGCCTTCCGGGTCGACAAAGTGCTCAATCTCGGCCATCAAGAACTCGCGGACACGGAGGAGACCGGCGCGGGGAGAGATTTCGTTGCGGTAAGACTTGCCAATGGAGGCAGAGGCGAACGGCATCTGGCCCGTGTTGAACTCCAAGAGCTTGGCAAAGTTGAGGAACTGGCCCTGGGCCGTCTCCGGTCTCAGGTAACCGGGGAGGTTGCTGCTGGGACCAATTGAGGTCTGGAACATGAGGTTGAAGGAGACGGGAGGCGTGGGCTGGAGGCCGGTCGCGGGATTCCGGAGATCGTGCTTCTTGATCAGCTCGCCCAGCTGCTCACCGTTGTAGTTGTCAATCTGAGCCAGAATCTCCTCGTACTCCTTGACCACGGCATCGTCAAGCCTGACGGCCTCAACACCGCCCTTGTTCTTCTTCTTCTTGGCCGCCTTCTTCTTGTCTGTCTCTTCCTTCTCCTCCACCTTCAGGCCGCGGGCCTCCTTGTCGCCCTTCAGCCGCTGCTCGAGGATGTCCTCGACGAAGTGGTCGGCACGGAGGATCTCGCCGTTCTTGGGGTCCTTGCACATCCAGTCGGCAAACTTGTCGACGTGGCCGGAGGTCTTGAGAACATCGTGGGGGGTCAGAACAGTGCAGTCCACCTCGAGCATGTCCTCCTCCAGGATAAAGTGCTTGCGCCAGAGGTCAATGACATTGGCCTGGAGAGCGCAACCCGGCGGGCCATAGTCGTAGAGGCCAGAGACGCCGCCGTAGATTTCGAACGAGGGAGTGTAGAAGAGACGCCGCCTCAGCATGGCGTCGAGGGCGGCCCTGTCGAGGGGCTGGCCCTTGAGGGTGGTGGCATCTGTCGACATCTTTTCGGGCTTCTTTTTGTTGATCTGCGGTATCTGGAACTTGAGGCGCGGGGTAGAGGGGGCAAAGGCTGGACGGTGAAGCCTACGGAGAGGGGCTACTACAGATGTATAGTTGTTGTTGGAGTGGAGTGGAGTGCCAGCAACAAGTGGTGAAGACAGGCGGCGGGTGAGGATGAGGGACAGAAGAGGCTTCATTCCCCCAATTGCAAGTGTTGGCCTCGTCCCCCTCTCAGTGAGTCACGGTGGCCGTTTTTCTAAGGCACTCCTCTTTTTTTTTTTTTCGAGACCCGATAGATGAAACCCAGGAAACGGCTGCCACAGCAGGGCACCACACCAGCCATGGCACGGTGGATGCATTCTACGGCGAGACACTGTCCGGGGCTTCAGGGTTGGAGGGGCATGAATCAGCGGAAATTCAATTAACCGCTATTTCCAAGAAGATGTGCCCCTCACTGTCCCGCCTTCTGGATTTCGATGCACGGACCCGTTGAGAACCCTGTGGGCTGCCCGTCAACAGTGAGTGCTGGGGCCCCCCCGGAGCGCATGGATCAGCAATCGATTGCAGCCAGCCGTCCAAATTTTTTTTTGGAGATTCCCAATCGCTATCAATCAACCATCGCCGTCACCATCGCAAAACCTCTTCGACCAATTCACCCACCACCGCAAACAATCGCCAAAATGGGGTCTTCACGCTCCGGAGGGTCTTCCCTGTCCCTGAAAACGGGCAACAAATTGAGACGCAAGCAAATGTACATCGAGGACAAGAAGATCGCCAACAAGGCCCGTCACGAAGAGCGCCATCGCCGCAGAAGAGAGGAGGCCAAGAACCCCGAATTGAGAGAGGAAAGACTTGCCAAGAACCAGCCCGCGAGTATTGACAAGAAGAGAGTGTGGGACGATGTCGACGACGATAGCTTGGGGGCACAGGTTGATCTGGCAGCTTTGAAGCGCCGTCGCATGGAACAGGCCGAGCTTGCCGCTGCTGCTGAGGCGGATGCCGCGATGAAGGATGACGAGGAGGAAAAGGACGACGAGGAGGAAAAGGACGACGATGCCGACAGCATGTTGGATTCCGACTCTGAAAACGACGGGGAAGACGACGAGGAGCGCGAGGAGAAGCTGCAGAGGAAACGGGCGCAAAGACAACCGAGCATTGCCCCTTCGACGACATCAACAAACCTTGATTTGACACCAGATTCTCTTACGCGGCAGTTCGAGCACCTCTTCAGCGATGAACCTCCCCCGATGCCCAAGATTCTCGTCACCACCTCGCTCAACGCGACGATACACAAGGAGGCCGAGGAGATCGGCGCCATCTTCCCCAACTCGACCTATATCAGGCGTAGCGGTCACCGCTGGGGTCACAAGTACAGCGTCAGGGAAATTGCAAAGTTTGCAAAGAGTATGTTTTCCTCTCTACCTCTTTCCCGTAAGATCGGATGCTAACACGCGACAGACCGTGGTTACACAGCTCTCGTCGTCGTCCACGAGGACCTCAAGCGTCCCCACCAGATGAGCATCGTACACCTCAACAGCGAAGATGCCGCGCCAGGACCTACCCTCACCTATTCCATCCGCAACTACCTCCCAGGAAAGTCTCTGTTGGGCCACGGCAACGCCACCAACCACTACCCCGAGCTGCTCCTCAACAACTTCAAGACACCGCTGGGTCTCCTCGCCGCCAAGTCGATGAACACGCTTTTCCCAGCCAGACCTGAGTTGCAGGGCAGACAAGTCGTAACGCTGCACAACCAGCGCGATTACATTTTCTTCCGCCGTCATCGTTATGTCTTCCGTGAAGCTAGAGCCACGGAAAAGAATGTCGTCACGGCAGAGGGCAAGGAGATGGAGGGTATGCAGGGCATCCGTGCTGGTCTTCAGGAGATTGGCCCGAGGATGACGCTCAAGCTTCGTAGGGTTGATAAGGGGATCGGCAGGGCGGGGAGTGAGGGCGAGGGTGCGCTCAAGTGGGAGTGGAAGGCCAAGATGGAGAAGAAGAGGACGCGCTTCAACTTGTAGACAGGAGGCGAAATTGATACCCGTGGTTTTCGTGTATACTCAAGTAGTAATGAATGGCCATTTGTTAGGATTAATTTGTGACTATGATATTTTGACTATTTATTGGTTTTTGTTTTGTAGCCAAGGTATGGAAGCATTGGGATGTTTGAAAGGGTGTAAGCCAACATCATTTCCCTCTTGCTCTCGCCCATGCCCGAACCCCCCCCCCCCTTGAAGATTTGTATCCTGGATTTTCCGGAAACGCCTTGCCCAAATTTTC